TTCGGAAGGCAACCTCGCTCAAGGAAAGAAAACGCATGGCTGGAAAAGTTCCTACAGGAAGAATTCACAAAATTCGAAAATATAAAGGGACCAACCACAATGGCGCAGCACAGAATAAAGGTAAAGCCAGGCACAGAACCGATTAAACAGAGATACAGGCCAAGAAATCCCGCTATGCAGTCAATCATCGACAAGGAAGTCGAGGAGATGGAAAAAGAGGGGATAATAGAAAAATCACAGAGTGCCTGGAGCTCCCCCATCGTACTAGTAAGAAAGAAGGACGGGAAACACAGATTCTGCGTCGATTTCAGAAAGGTGAACGAAGTCACAGAACAAGACGCATACCCGCTACCTCAAATCACGGCGACACTAGACAAATTACGGGGAGCAAAATACCTTACGACATTAGACCTCAAGGCAGGGTATTGGCAAATACCTCTAATACCCGAGAGCCGTCCAATCACCGCATTCACCGTACCGGGACGAGGCCTCAAACAATTCAAAGTCATGCCTTTCGGTCTACACTCCGCACCAGCCACATTCCAACGCCTCTTGGACCCCATAATCGGACCAGAACTAGAAGAATACGTACAAGTCTATCTGGACGATATCATTATCGCAACAAAAACATTCGAGCACCACCTGCAAATTTTAAAGGAAGTTTTTGTACGACTAAGGAAAGCTAGATTAAAGCTAAACAGCGAAAAATGCCATTTTTGCAGACCGAACTTAAAATACCTAGGACATATCATAGACAAAAAAGGCATACGAACCGATCCGGAAAAAACAAGCGCCGTCAATACTGGCCAACACCCACAAAGGTTAAACACATTAGACAATTCGTAGGAATGGCCTCCTGGTACCGCAGGTTCATTAAAGGAGTTTCGAAAATCACCGCACCACTAACGAACCTAACGAAGCAAAAAGTAAAATGGCAGTGGGGACCAGAGGATGAGAACGCTTTCCATAAACTAAAGGAAACTTTAGTATCCGCACCTATTCTCGCATGCCCTGTCTTCAACCTAAAGTTCACAGTTCAAACAGATGCAAGCAAACATGGCCTGGGAGTCGTACTTACACAAAATTTCAAAGAGGGCGAATGAGTGATCGCATACGGGAGTCGAACACTAAATAACTGCGAGAAAAATTACAGCGCCACGGAACTAGAATGCCTCGCAGTAATCTGGGGCATCCGCAAAATGCGATGTTACCTCGAGGGATATAACTTCACAGTTATAACGGATCACCAATTTCTAAAATGGTTGCAAAAGCTAGAGTCGCCGTCAGGACGACTAGGAAGGTGGAAATTTGAGCTTCAACAGTACAATTTTGATATCAAATATCGCAAAGGAAGCTCAAACAAAGTAGCAGGCGCATTATTACGGCAACCCGAAATAGCCGCCACACATACAGATATAAAATGTAAATGGTACCGACAAAAGTACAGCGAGGCAGAGGCACACCCACAGAAGGTACTAGATTACGAAATCCGTCAGGGTACGCTATACCGACACATTCTCCATAGCCTGGACTTTAAAGAAACACCAAGCAAGGAACAATGGAAAAGATGTATACCGCAAGAAGAAAGACTGGAGATCCTACATGCATACTATGACGATCCAACGGCAGGACACCTGGGCACCGCAAAAACCATAAGCAGAATAGCACGGTTGTATTACTGGCCAGGCATGTTCACAGAGATAAAACGATATGTCCGGAACTGCCATAATTGTCAGGCACATAAGGCGTCACAAACACACCCACTAGGACAAATGCACGCAACAAACGTACAACAACCATGGGATCAGATAGCATTAGATCTCATCGGACCATTACCGAGATCCACCAAAGGATATACGTGGGTACTGACAATGCAGGACAGATATACAAAATGGTTCGAAATGAAACCGCTGAGAAAGGCAACCTCAACAGCGGTCTCACAAGCAATAACAGAAGAAATTGTTTACAGACACGGCTGTCCCAACACAATTATCTCCGATAACGGTACGCAATTTAAATCGGGAGATATGAAGAAATTAACGCAAGCACTAGGAATAAAACAGCGCTTGACACCAGTATGGACGCCACAATGCAATCCGGTAGAGCGAACAAACCGAACAATAAAAACAATGATTTCGCAATACGTGGAGAACAATCACCGGAACTGGGACACACACTTGAGTCAAATCAAGTTCGCGTTTAATACCGCAAAAAACGATAGCACAGGGTTTACACCTGCTTATCTAAATACAGGGAGAGAACTGGCAGGCCCACACACGCTAGAAAGAGAGCAGGAATGCCCTCAAACTCCAACGAATTACGTCAAAAATTGGAAGCAACAAGAGAACTCGTCAACATTAACATGGCACGAGCATTCCAAAGGCAGGGCAAACACTACAATCTCAGGCGAAGGGAGTGGAAACCAAAGATAGGAGACATAGTATGGAAAAAGAACCATATACTCTCCAATAAAGCCCTAAACGCAAAACTCGCTCCAAAATACATCGGGCCACTGCTCGTGAAACGAATAATTTCACCGGTTATCGTCGACTTACAAGACAATAACAAGAAATGGTTTAGGCACGTACACGTACACGATATAAAAACCAACAACACCGATACACGGAACAATGAACAGGATAATCCAAATACAGAAGAGTAAATATAGAGCAAAGCTAATATAAAACACAAGCAAGGGACAAACACCACAGTCTACATCATGGATGAAGACATAGAGGAGACCATACAGGCTATACTCACCACGTGGAACGAGGCCGAGGCCCAAGCACTATGGGAGAGCCTCCTACCTCCCAGTGAGAAAGAGAAACCATCGCCACTGCCACCAGGCAAGTGACCACCAGTGGATGTACCACCGAAACAGAGACCGGCAATCCCGTGCGAAAAAACACCACCATCGGCAAGAATCGCACAAAAGAAATTAAAGATACTAATGGGCGAGGAGGTACGTCCAACACCCGCGAGACGCTGGCAGCATATCCACCCGGTAGTCTGGTGCAGGAAAACCGGAGACAACTCGTCGCCCTCCGGGTATACAAAGCCGACACTAGAGCGGACTAAGGTGAACCAGACAACCTCAGCCAAAACACCAGAGAGCAAATCACCGGCCTCAAAAATAAAAATAGTGGCAGACACGATACTACCACCAAGTAAGCACGTGAAATTAGAGAGGATACCACCAACGAAAGACCAGCCGTCAACCGACATCACGCTCGAGAACGGGAAAATAGTACGTATACCATACCATGCGGTACATATATCGCGAAAATACCGCCGCTACGTGGACGGGGAGCTGTGGCGATTCCGTTTCGGCCCTACGGGCACACTGAAGTACGCCCGAAAGGCCTAAAGGAACCGACCAGAGAGAGGCCGGAGGAACTCGGCGACTTCCGGCACCACCATGCCGACACCAGAGGTCAACCCGGCGACCTTTGCTCAACGGACGACGAACAACCGTCACCAGCACCAATCTTGTCAGCGCAGAGACAAACCAGCAAAAAGGAGAGGGAAACAGACCAATCTCCAAGAAAGGGGAGAGAACCGCCAAAAAACAAGGATATAAGGAGCCGAGCTAGGAAGAACTCACACTCTACGCCGAACTGGTACACGGGAACACACACGGAGCTGGACTCACACACGGCAAGGCTCTGAACAGTTCATCACGGATGCACAAACATCAGAGGATGAGCATCAACAGGGAGATACTCCAGTGGCTGGAAGACTGGCAACCGCCTCCAAGAAGCGCCGAAACACCACGTCCCACGAACAACCAGGACGAGCCAGCGAACAATCCAAAGCAAGAATACCAACCTACTACAGTCTTGACGGTATTCGCGACGGAGGACACAGAACCAGCCCGGCCACAAGCTCAACCACCACCTCAACAGCGGACAGTAAGACTCCCAGACGGGAGACAATTTACTATACCGCGCCACGCATCCGCTAAACACATAAAATATCATGTAGAAATAGACGACGAGATATGGCGCATACGTTTTTGGCCATCCGGCGCAGTGAAAAGAGTCTATAAAGTGCCCGGGACGTGCACCTAGTCACGCGGG